CGATTTCCATTCAAGTTTTATCTACCTATCTATTTCAATCAAATGCACTATGTGATAGATTGATAGTGTGATGTGATGATTATCAAAAAATCGGATGATTTTTTTTAAATAAATAAAAATAAAAAAATTACCAATGCGAATTAGATGATATTTTATATATACAATATTTCCATTATAAGGAGAGAACCTCTTAACCGATTTTGATGAACAATATTTGATTCGAAAGCTTAATTCTTGGTCAATACCAAAGTGGAAATGCCCGATTCGTAATGTCTTTCGAATTCCGTTAAAACGCCAAAATATTGTCAAACTATACGAAAATAACATAAAATTTGCATTTTTAGGTGGTTATAACGATGTACCAGATTATCAAGATCAATACGCTATTCGTGTTTGACTCGTTTATGCTGATGAGATATGTCAACTTAATTGGATCCAAGATACAAAATGAACTTTTTTAATGCTGATTTAACTCACGAAGCACTTCTAAAAAGAGGATTCTTTAATTAAAAATTGGTGATAATTTTGAAAGTTATCGATGAAATTGCAACATCGAAAATTTTATCAAAACTTCAAATATTGTTTTCCCAGAAACTAAAAGTTATTTTTCAAAATATGGTGGTTCATTGGAAAGAGGACACTCTTATTAACACTTTGGGACATTTTCATACTCATATTCGAAGAAATCGATTTTATACGAATTTTTAAAACTTAATCAATAATTAATGAAATTGCAATATTCGAAAAAATTGTCGATTATTTCAAAAATTTATTTCTTAAGAACTAAAAGTGATTTTTTAAAAACGGCTTTTGCATTAAAAAGAGGATACTTTAATTAATAATTAGTGATATTTTCACAATTTCCACGCGAATTTCAAAACCGTTAACATTTAAACTAAACCAAGAACACCTTGGCTTACTGACAATGTTTAACTTTTGCAGAGGCTTAGGGATAGAGCTAAATTAAGCTATAGATGATCTAAAACGGACCGCACTGGAAGTGCTATAAAGAGGGCCTTTGTGAATGATGTTCCTTAGCCTACTTATGATCCCTCAGACATGATAGATTTCTATCAGAATTCTACTAATAACCTGAATCCTTTCTTTCGATTAACTGGTGTGGGTGAGGATACGATCATGCGATTATTAAAGGAAATTAAGAGTAAGTCTTCTGGCGTGGACGGTATGAGTATATAAATATGTTGAAGTTGGTTGTTCCTCAGCTTCTGCGCCACATTACACATATTGTAAATGAGTACATTCGAGCAAGCTACTTTCCTAATGCTTGGAAATCGGCGCTAGTGCTCCCTCCGTGTTGGAGAAAATCGTTAATTTTCAGCTAAGGCAGTACCTTATTGTAAATAACATTCTTCCTGATTGTCAATTCGGGTTTGTGTCAGGCCGCAGCTGCTCTTCTGCTTTGTTGACGATAACTGATGATATAATCTGTGCTAAAGATATCAGTAAATGTACTGCACTTGTACTTCTTGATTTTAGTAAAGCTTTTGATACGGTCCATCACGATATTTTATTATCTATTTTACACCATATTGGCTGTGATGTTTCGTTTGTGAAATTTATATACCGGTTACCTCGTCAACGAGGAATTTGGGACTTCTTATCGATAACAGTTTTAGGTATCGCGCATATATTTCGAAAAAAATTTGAGCTGCTTTTTATAATCTGAAGTTGCTTTACCCTTCATTTTAAAGCTTAAAACTGTGCTGTGTGAAAGAATGGTGTTGTCTTTGTTCAATTACTGCTCGCCTGTCTATGGTCCTTGTTTGGATTCAGTGCGTGTGCGCAGGGTTCAGGGGGTTCAGAACGCTTGTATGAGGTATATATTTGGCATTCGAAAATTTGATAAAATTTCACACAAATTACTGGTTTTGGACTGGCACAGGAGAACCGTGTTATCTTTTCAAGAAAGTGAGGTTTAGGGGTCATATTCAGTCTATTAAGATTAGAAATAGAAACTTGATAGCTCCTCCAGCCCATAGGACAGCTTTGTTTGAGAGATCTTTTAGCTAATACTTTACTTTAAATATAATAAGCTGCGGATAGAAATTAAAACTAAGGATGAAGTGGCGTTCAGGCGTGCTGTCTTCCTCTTGCTCTTCAATGAGCAATAATTAAGCTACTTTATGGCGTGGACTTATCTTGCAATGAGTCCTTTTTTTGAATTGAATTGTTATGATATTATGGAATGATACGGAAGCTTTAGTTTTCTTGTGGAATTAATTAGGCTTAAGTAGGTTTTTAGTAATAGTTTTAGGCTATTATTTCTACTGTTACATTTAGTTCTGTTCATTTTCTTTTTAATTTTCTTAATTTCTTTTTCATCTTTTTAATTTGCAAGGTTCAGTGTAAGAACAGGGAGTGTCATTGGCACTCATTTAACTGCACCTTGAGGTTCTCGAATAATTAAGTATTTAGTTATTTGATAGATTGTATTATAATAACATATGGATTATAACATTGTATTATTTTATTGGAGAATAAAGGCTATTATTATTATTATTATGTGCAGCATTCTGTAATGTTTGGAAGTTCTGTTCACCGACGGATATTTGTTAGCCACGATAATTTTATCCTACCTATTCCTTTTTTCCTCCCTCGATTTTTCCCTGGAGAATGAGGCGTTGGAAATGGTACCGTTCTCCCCGTAGTATATGTCCGAGATAACCTATCTTTCTTTTCTTGATGATTCTGGTTTTCTTAGATTGGGACTTCGAAGAACGTCTTCGTTACTGAGGTAATTGACCCAAGACACCTTTAATATTCGCCGCAGGATTCACATTTCGAAGGCTTCGATTTTGTTGATGATTGATATTTTCAGCGTCCATGTCTCAACCTCATATAGGAGGATGCACCAGACGTAGCACTTCACCATCCTATATCTGAGGCTGAAATTCAGGTTCTTGTCCGTAAGAAATTTTCGAAATCTTAAAAAGGTTGTTCTAGTTTGTTCAATCCTGCATCTTATCTTATGATCCGGGTTCCATCCCTCATTGATTATGCATCCCAAGTATCTAAATTGTTTGCCTTGTTCGATTATCTCTCCATCAACATGTATTCGAGTGTGTGGAGTAATGTTTCTACTCACTAATATCACGATGGGTTGGTTCCATTTACTGTAATTCCAAAGAGACTATTCGAGATTGACTTGGAGAATGCTCTTTTTACGTACAGCTTGAGGAGATGATACACCCTTCTCCAATTCCTAAAATCCTCAATTGCTCCAACGTTATTTACTCGGACTTCTGCTTTTTGGTGCCAGTACAGATTACTAATTAGTCTTAAATCCTTTGCATTCAATTCCAGATCTCTGAGGTATGTTATCAGAAGACTGTGTTTAACTTTGTCAAATGCCTTCTTATAGTCGATGAAGCACATAAAGACGTCCTTTCTTTGATCTTGACAATTTTGCACCAGTGTTTGAAGACTAAACATGGCTTCTCTGGTTCCAAATCCGCTTTTAAATCCAAACTGACTTGCTCCACTTGATCCTCACCTTTTTGATAAAGCCTTATATGTAGAATTAAAAGGAAAGTTTTAGAAAGTGGCTCATTAAACTAATGAGACGGTATTCTTTACATGAGATTACATTCTTTGATTTTGGTAGTGCTACAAACTTAGAGCAGAGCCAGTTCTCAGGGAAGTGACCAGAATTGGAAACGTCTTCGAATACATATCATCATGGCCCGCCTTGCCACTCTTCCAATAGCGTGTATGACTTCACTTCTTAATGTACTTGGTCCTGGCAGAGTGGATCCCTCTGTTGGAGGGTTCTCTGGTCTGTCATACTTTCTCCATATTTGCAACAGTACTTGGGTTTCTGTCACTATTTCATTGTGGTCATTCTTAATGAAACTTGGTGATCTATTATTATACAGCCCAGCTATTTCTTTGACTTTTTTATGTAAATGAATAAAGTTGCCTCCAAGTCTGCTACAATTTTCAGCCTCCTGACACCTTTCATGCAGCCAATTCTATTTTGCTACTCTAATCTTTTTTCGTATTCTTCTTTGAAGACCTTTGTACCCAATGTGATCCTCTCTTGTCTTTATTTCTCTATTAGTTCCAGAAAAAAAAACAGAATTCCATCTAATTTCAACCCTTTCTATTTTTTCTCGATATTTATGCATCTGAGAGCAAAAGTGCTAAGAGTAATATTGTTAAGAATAACGTTAGTTACAGCTTTTATACAAATTTTTTTTAAAAAACGTTCCGAGTTCCGTGTTTTACCAACAACAAGATGTAAAATGACGATTTCACGTAATTTTCACTTTCTCGATATTTATACATCTGAGAACAAAAGTGTAAAAGAGCAATATTGTTAAGAATACAGTTTGGTACAACTTTTATACTAAAACTTTTTTTCTGAAACCGTCCAAATCCCGTGCTCAACCAACAACAAGATATAAAAGAGTAAAAGAGCAATTATTGTAAAGAATAAAGTTTGCTACAACTTTTATATTGAAGTATTTTTTCTAAAATCTTTCAGTATAAAAGTTAATAAACCCAAATTAGGTAATTTTTGTGTTATATTCGCGTATTTTTTCTATATTTTAGCGTATTAGTAAAATACGAGATTTCGATTCGGGCATATCTAGTGTCGCATTGACCAATGATTTAGCTCTGGAATAAGATATTGCTTTTCAAAATTAGTTGAGAGATTCTCTTGCTATAATAAAAATACTATACAGGTAACATCATATTTTAATATCATTATACCAAATAAAACTAAAAATTTACATTATTCGTCCGTCTAAAAATATTTCCTTGAAAAAATAAATATTTTGTTGTCAAACTATTTTCTGGAAGTTATCCGATATTTACTTGATAAAAATTGTTATTCCACCTTGTTTCAACAAACCGCCAATAAATTACCAGTAAGCTAAATACACGCAGGAAGCGTTTGGCATCGCAGGAATAAACGCAGGAGATCCACGCAGGACTCTGTAGGTCCAGCAACGGTTTTCAGAAGGAGTTTTCAGTTATCCTGCGCACGTTAAACAGTTCGGTACCCGTTTACATTTACCTTATTAACACTTTCGCCGATTCAAAAAAAGAATTAGAAAATAAGAATCAACCCGAACGTGTCTATTTAGTACTTAAATTTAATTATAGTGAATTAGTTTTAAATGTGTACGTTTAAGATGGTTTGAAACTTTTAAATTAAGAAAAAAACTTTGTGTCAACAAGAAACACCATGGAAAACGAAGTAAAAGTGAGTTTATAAACTTTATTTTTTTTCTTTTTTTGAAAATTCGAACGATATTTCTTTTTAGGGGATATTTAGTGGTTATTTCTGAGGTTAGGGAATAGGATAATAAAATAAGAATGATGTCCTTCGTAAACAGACGCCAAGAAATGTCTTTGTTTTACAATGAAAAATATCTCGGTGTTCCCTTTCATGACCTAGAAGCGAAAATTCGTTTTATAGCGCCTCGTATGAAGTGAACGATAAAAACGCAAATTTCAGTTTTTCCCTATATGATACTGAAGTAACAAATGTCTTAACAGTTCTGATAAATTTTAGTTTTCTCGGCATCTTACCACTTATAATAAGGACATAGGAAAAATTTTCAAACTAAAAATTGACATAAAAAAATGTTTGTCGTTTAAAACGAAAATATTTTTATGATTCACTTTAAAATCTAACTAAATTTAGATGCGTCGAATACAAAAAAAATAACGAGAAAATCAGGACAGAAAACTTTTATCTTCTTGATATACGTCCTAAAAGTTAAAAGGGCGATAAAAAACACCACAGAGAAGTTAAATCGATGACATTAAATCGCAAATATTTACACACTAACTCCTAGGCAATCAAAATATCGTAATGTATTATAATATCAACATGGTAGTCATAATGATATCGCCAAGCTGGCTTTACGGAAAGACGACAATGTAAATATTATCCATTTTTTACGACGGTAACTTCCGACGTCGGTTCATTTGATCTCAAAATATCTTAAATATTGTTTTGGTATTTGTCTCTAACTTTCGAAAATTGAAACACTTTCTTGAATAATTTGCTGATTACAATCCAATTAACTGATATAATAGGAAATTCAATAACATAGAACCACTCAACCGTGATTGTATTATTATTCTGTATACATACATAATACATAGGTATACATATATCGATGCAGGAAATTGAGAACTTCGAGTTGGATTAAATTAATCAAACAGTTGAAGTTAAATCAAAGTTTATTTATTTCTAAATACGAAAAAAATACGTCTATATACAATGGGTATGACTCAAAATTAATGTGAATCTTTAGTTTTAATCTAATAATACAATTCATCAAATTTTATCAACCTGTCTAATTGCGTTTTTATATCACTATATAGGTCATGATTTTCACAATACATTAAAAATAGATTCTTTTAGAAGATTTTCTAATCAACTATCAAACGTGATGAATTGTATTGTTTCCCTTATTTTGATTTACAAAATTTTGAAGATCCCAACCGAACCGCATCGAATCACAGCTTTCAAGAAGTTCTAAATAAATTTGCATTAAATTGCTTTTTATTTCATGGTAATATCTTAATTAGTTTTTGAGATACGAAAAGAATAATTAGTATTACCCTAACATTTATGGTTATGCAGAGTTGCATTCTAAAAATCGTAACACCAAAATTTGAAGATTTCAAGAAATGATCTCCAAAATATTAAATTCTCAATAAATTAGCTTTAAATTGCTGCTTATTTCATAACGATATCTCAATTTGTTTTTGAGATACATAAAAATTACTAATCCTAACATTTATGTTTAAGATTATGCAAGGTTGAGTTCAAAAAATCATAACTCAAAAATTTTAAGATTCCAAGAAATGGGCTTCAATATACTAAATTCTAAATAAATTTGTTTTAAATTTCTATATATTTCATAGAGATATCTCAATAAGTTTTTGAGATACGAAAAGATTAATTAGTATTACCCTAACATTTATGGTTATGCAGAGTTGCATTCTAAAAATCGTAACACCAAAATTTGAAGAATCCAAGAAATGATCTCCAAAATATTAAATTCTAAATAAATTAACTTTAAATTGCTGCTTATTTGATAACGATATCTCAATTTGTTTTTGAGATACATAAAAATTACTTATCCTAACATTTACGTTTAAGACTATGTAAGATTGAGTTCAAAAAATCATAACTCAAAAATTGTAAGATTCCAAGAAATGGGCTTCAATATACTAAATTATAAATAAATTTGTTTTAAATTGCTAGATATTTCATGGAGATATCTCAATAAGTTTTTGAGATACGAAAAGATTAATTAGTATTACCCTAACATTTATGGTTATGCAGAGTTGCATTCTAAAAATCGTAACACCAATATTTGAAGAATCCAAGAAATGATCTAAAAAATATTAAATTCTAAATAAATTAGCTTTAAATTGCTGCTTATTTCATAACGATATCTCAATTAGTTTTTGAGATACATAAAAATTACTTATCCTAACATTTGTGTTTAAGATTATGCAAGGTTGAGTTCAAAAAATCATAACTCAAAAATTTTAAGATTCCAAGAAATGGGCTTCAATATACTAAATTCTAAATAAATATGCTTTAAATTGCTATATATTTCATAGAGATATGTTAATAAGTTTTCGAGATACGAAAAGGTTAATTAGTATTACCCTAACATTTATGGTTATGCAGAGTTGCATTCTAAAAATCGTAACACCAAAATTTGAAGATTTCAAGAAATGATCTCCAAAATATTAAATTCTAAATAAATTAACTTTAAATTGCAGCTTATTTCATAACGATATCTCAATTTGTTTTTGAGATACATAAAAATTACTTATCCTAACATTTGTGTTTAAGATTATGCAAGGTTGAGTTCAAAAAATCATAATTCATAAATTTTAAGATTCCAAGAAATGGGCTTCAATATACTAAATTCTAAATAAATTTGTTTTAAATTGCTATATATTTTATGGAGATATCTCAATAAGTTTTTGAGATACGAAAAGATTAATTAGTATTACCCTAACATTTATGGTTATGCAGAGTTGCATTCTAAAAATCGTAACACCAAAATTTGAAGAATCCAAGAAATGATCTCCAAAATATTAAATTCTAAATAAATTAGCTTTAAATTGCTGCTTATTTCATAACGATATCTCAATTTGTTTTTGAGATACATAAAAATTAATTATCCTAACAGTTATGTTTAAGACTATGCAAGGTTGAGTTCAAAAAATCATAACTCAAAAATTTTAAGATTCCAAGAAATGGGCTTCAATATACTAAGTTCTAAATAAATTTGTTTTAAATTACTATATATTTCATTGAGATATCTCAATAAGTTTTTGAGATACGAAAAGATTAATTAGTATTACCCTAACATTTATGGTTATGCAGAGTTGCATTCTAAAAATCGTAACACCAAAATTTGAAGAATCCAAGAAATGATCTCCAAAATATTAAATTCTAAATAAATTAGCTTTAAATTGCTGCTTATTTCATAACGATATCTCAATTTGTTTTTGAGATACATAAAAATTACTTATCCTAACATTTATGTTTAAGATTATGCAAGGTTGAGTTCAAAAAATCATAATTCAAAAATTTTAAGATTCCAAGAAATGGGCTTCAATATACTAAATTCTACATAAAATTTGCTTTAAATTGCTTTTTATTTCATGGAGATATCTCAATAAGTTTTTGAGATACGAAAAGATTAATTTAGTATTACCCTAACATTTATGGTTATGCAGAGTTGCATTCTAAAAATCGTAACACAAAATTTGAAGATTCCAAAAAATGATCTCCAAAATATTAAATTCTAAATAAATTCGTTTTAAATTGCTGCTTATTTCATAACGATATCTCAATTTGTTTTTGAGATACATAAAAATTAATTATTCTAACATTTATGTTTAAGATTATGCAAGGTTGAGTTCAAAAAATCATAATTCATAAATTTTAAGATTCCAAGAAATGGGCTTCAATATATTAAATTCCAAATAAATTTGCTTTAAATTGCTTTTTATTTCATGGTGATATCATAATTAGTTTTTGAGATACGAAAACTATATTTGCTTCTTCTTCGCGAGCGCCCTAGTGATTTGTTCTACCTATTCTGTTCTGTCTGTACTCCTTGTGATGCGCACGATCAACTATCTTTCTAACTTTTTGGAGGTCATCCTGACAGTTTTTGCGATACTGGCCTGCAATCTCTGAAAATCCCCATGAAACGTGCTCTTTCCAGAGTCTCCTGTGTGCGGGTATTTCCTTGCTTCTTTTCTGATCTCATAGTGTGCTTCTTGTGATTACTTTCAAAATCATCATCTCAATAGTACGTTACATCTCTTTGGTTTTGGCTGGGTCTTCCCGCTCTTCTAGTTTGACTTTGGTACATATACATATTAGGACGATTGTGCTTACGCCTAATGGAGTCCGTTACTTGTGCTCCGTGTACCTTGTAGGGGATCTTCTACACAACATTTTGCAAGCTACTGTGCCCTAAAGGCTTCAAAGCCGTTTCTTTTTTTTTGTTTCATTTGTGGTATTTACTCGTTCATTCTACGTATTTGTCTATTTCGCTGTTCGATTAATTTGATTTTTGAAATATTTACCTCAAAGCCCGCTATCTTTGTCTGTTCACTCAGCTTCTTTAAGCCCGCTTGCATTACATAGACTCTCTCAACCTTTCTTTCTTGGACTAGTAGTTTTGTCACTGATGTATATCAAGGTTTTTGTTCCTATAAAGACAATTAGGGTTGATGATCCCAGTGGTTCTGGGATCATTATCTTCATTATTTACTGCATCTTGAAGGCGTAAACTATATAGGTTTAATATTTAATCCCATTGCAGAAAAAGATTTTTAATGATGGAGGCATTCGTGGAAGATTCGTAAACAACTAACCAGTGGAATTGGCAATCAAGAGGTGACACGACAGCTGACTATGACAGCTTTATTAATCCTATACAAGCCTTTTAAATTGAAAATCAAAATCGGGATCATTCAGCTTCAAATTTTCAATGCTTTTTCTGATTCCTGCTTTCTTCGTTTTTTTTCTGGTATTCGAGAAATAGAACTGGTTGTTGGAATTGATGGAGTTGTTGATAGTACCGGGGTACTCATAAGCAGTTAAATATATTTTTCTTACCACTTTTTACAGAAAAGATCAATTACAAACCCATATGCCACCGATATCTCACTCTTGAATTACCATAAAAAAAGGACTGTTCA